TCCGGCGTGATGACGTCATTACGCCGGATCTGGGTCAGCACCAGCGCCGCCACACGTTCGCGTCATGATACTGCCGTGAACACGCATCCACAAGTGACTCAGTAGAGACGAAAATGTGGAATAAAGTTGTTATTTTTGTTTTCTTTGGGCAAAAATGCGTCCTCGTAGCTTCGTAACTTTCCAGTTGAACCACTGATGTCACACGGACTACTTTGTCGATCATCTTGGTACTTTTCTGGACCTTGAACATGGTAGTTACCTTGCTGTCTATGGGAGGGTCAGAGAGCCCTCAGATTTCATCAAAAATATCTTAAATTGTGTTCAGAAGATGAACGAAGGTCTTACGGGTTTCGAACAACACGAGGGTGAGTAATTAATGACAGAATTTTCATTTTTGGGTGAACTAACCCTTTAAATACACACAAGAGAAAGAGAAGTGCTTTTCAAGTTGATCAACTTCTAAACAACATAATTCTTTAACCCTAACACTAGACAATATATCCAATAAACTGACCCATTTTTCTTCGCATTTCTAATGTTCACTTAAGACACAACAGACTGTTTTCTTGAATACCATCAAGCATGCCTAAACTTAATTTTTTCATGTTTCTTTATTGTTCCTTTATCGTTTCTTTATCAGCGTGTCAAAAATTAAGCAGTCCTGCGAAATCGACATACCGCCAAGCCATTTTTACTCTCAACACATTAGAGATTAACTTCTGAAAATGCTGATATTAAGCTGTTAAGCTATTTAGCTGTTAATTCTATGTAGAATTCAGGAACCCTTGTTATAGCGACACCGGTGGTCATTAAGTGAGCTGTGGCCAGCAACTTATTGCTCATGCTCTTGCACACACTCCATAGTAATGCGAGCGAGTGATGGCCAAATTGGCCAATGTGATTCACCGACATCATGTCAACAGATGAGGTTCATTAAAATTGCACTGTTATGATAATTTCCCTTTCCCTGAATTTTCCCAGCAAAACTGCCCTGAGTCCTTCACATAAAAAGCAAAAGCAGCTTCTTTCATTGTTTTGTTTTGGGTTTTTTTCCAGTTGGAAGATGGAACCATGAACGAATTGATTCACCTGAATCTAGCCAAAAACTGTGATAGGCTTTAGCTGGATGTACTATTAGCACATTTTATTTTTATTTGTCCAACAAAATACAAATTACAAAATACTCAAAAGTAATTAAATATGCATTTTAAATACATTTCATCAAAATACTGCCCATCTCTGGCAACAACCAAATGCTTCAAATAACATAAAATCCCTCTAAAAGCAATCACTTCCTCCAGGATCCCAAAAAATGAACGTTTACAGGATTCCTTTGGGAATTTCAGTCATAATTAAAAACACTATGATTTAGACTCACTGCATAGCCATATTAGTCGTGCATTTTTACTAAATTGTTTTTTTTGCATGAAACATTTAAATGCAGAAAAACATTATATAGACAAGACAAAGTTAAGATATTAAAAGCATATTTCGACAAAAATTACTTTCTCTACACCAGTTAGTCATATTAAATCTGACTCATTTGCCAAACGGCTCTTTCGAACAGTGTCAAAGAACCGTTCAAATAAATGATTCAGTGATTCGTTTAACTCATGACGTTAAGTACATAATCCTTTGGTCCGTCATTCGGGAGATGAATATTATCTAAAACGTTCAATCAGAGTTATATATAGGTACATATGTTTAAAATGTTTTCGTACGTATTACATGAGTGATTATTGTAATTTCATATGTCCCAGTTAAATTTGTTGCATAAGCAATTCAAATAATAAAATCAAAGTCATTTAGAACCTAAATACGATTTGCATGTCAATTAAACAATACTAAAAGTAAAATAATGCCCAGAATCGGGTGAACTGCTTGGCCCGATTCAGTCTGATTCGACACAAATCGTCGAGAAACTAGCGTTGTGAACCAATTCGATTTCAAAGATCCGACTCAAAATAACGATTCGTTCGCAAATCAAACATCGCTAACAACAGACAGTTGCAAATCCGCCGCGTGCAATGAAACAATGTGTCCGGTTTGCGCGTGATGCCGTGTGCCAAAATCCATATCAACAATATACACAAATCATGTACTTAAATAATAGATAATTTATTTAAAGATCTCTATTCCCCAGCATACGTACTTGCAGCTAACTGTTAGCTCATAAAATGGCAGTTGTGTGATGTAGGAAGTTAAGTAAATCATATACCACCTTACCGAATGATTAACGCCCCACATGAACACGCTGAGCATCGGGTCGCTCGCCCGGAACACTTTCACCTTCTGCTGCACGAAATGTTTCTTCTTGGTCTTGGTTTTGGGGGCGAGCATGACCATCGGGCTGGAGGCGCTGCTGGTGTTACCGAGGGACGCCATCATCACGGTCACTCCCCTGTAACACAGCGGTCTCTTTTCCTCTCGGATCCGCCTCCCTCTGTTCCTGCTCCGGTTCCTCTAACTGACAATCAAAGGTCGAAAACAACACAAGCGCTATGCTGCGGAGGCCGGTTTTCCGCTGTGTTTGCAGGCCCAGATGGACTGACTCTTCATGGAAGTGAACAACACTAGGTTGCTGAAGTGTAGCAGTGATACAGATGCTCCTCCCACAAGTTCAGAGGAACAGAGCTTGATATATTGTAACTAGGGATGTAACGATTAACTGCGAGCCGGTTGAAAATCGATTAAAATATGTGGTTGAGATGCTAAACAAATCGCGATTCATTTAGGTGTAGGAGTTTATATGAATGCATGTCTGAGGGGAACTTACTGTCTTTTAATTTATAATTTGTCTTAAATCTAATTTTGTAAAAAAAATAATAATAATAATCGTGAATCAAATCGAATCGTGAAATCAAAATCGTGAATCGAATCGAATCGTGAGTTGAGTGAATCGTTACATCCCTAATTGTAACCGCAAGAATGTGTCAGACTCTCACCTGAGTGTAGGTCACGTAGTTTGCGGACGTACAGGTGAGATGAGACCCTGAAACAATATCAAAGTTAACCTAACCATAACTATTAAACTTCGTCTGAATCGTTCCTGCGGTTGACATGTCCGAACGAACCGTTGTTTTGAGGTGGATCTTTTCAATTAATCGGTTGAACCGGTAAAAAACAAAAAAAAAACGGTCCGTTTTCGGATCGGACTGAATCGGTCCGAGCGGTTCTCGAATCAGCGATTCGAGCGGAAACATGCCAAACAAAATGAGCCGAATCAATCAGTGGAATCGAGAATTTGATGTAGTTTTCAAGAAATAGAAAGACGTAGACATCAAGCAAAGCATAGTTTTATCAACATGAATACGAAACATGCTGTATTTAGCCTAAAAGGCTAATAAAATGTGCGAAAAATGTTCAGCCAGAAGAGAATTTGTATTGTTTCATGTAAATTCGAATTATATTTAGATTCTAAATGGCTTGCAATAGGATTTAGCCTGTTTGAGCCGAATCACGACTGCGACAACCTGAGCTGGGATGCATAAAATTACAATAAACAATAATCATTAATCTTAATCGAAAGGAAAAAAAACGCATAGTGCTACATGGGTTTATTGAGACATTTTAGAGGGTATTCTGCAGTCTTTAATGTAGCACGCCATCATGCCAGTGGCTAGGTAAACTACACGAAAGAATCATCTGGTTCTTTGAAAAGAATTGTTCGAAAGAACCGACTCGCGAAATTGAGTCTTACTTCCCGACACAAGAAATACCTCAAATAGTGGGGCGATTTAGCTTGACTGAAGTAAGAACTCAGCCGTAGTAGAGATCAGAATATCAGTAGACTTTTGGAGTGGAGTTGTTTGACGTTTGGGCCAGTAAGCAACCACCTGCCTGCATAACAATGCGCGAAATAAGAGAAATCACATAGCAACACTCTGGCAACCACCCAAGCCATGCTAGCATTGAGAACTTTTACACAGGTAAACACAACTCACATTTTCCTACAATCTTTCGAAATTAGCTATAATTAGTCTACTTATCATTTAACACGTAAAGTGGGTTGTCCTAGCAATAGCCGAAATGTCTGGGAAGCGTTTTTGAAAATTCATTATTTTTTGCAATTCTGTTTGCTGCCGAAAATCGTACACTTCACCATAAAAAATATGGAACTTTTTTTTTTTTTTAATGATTGTATATCTAAAGTCAGCAATGTATGTGGGTAAACATACTTAAATATATTTGGTCATATCTTCCTTTGCAGATTCTATATTTTGGCTTCCATAGTTTTTGATAACTAGATTCGACACAGCGAATAATGCATTAAAAAATGTTGCTTTCGTTACAGGGCGAATAAACTCTCCACGTGACAGTGGTACAAAGTAGGACATGATGTAAGCACAGACATATGCTATATTCTGCTATATGTTGTTACCTTGGAAACAAGCATGTGGATTGTTGTGTGAGTATATATGCATGAATCTGTCTTGGCACAAAAGCTCCAGCAATATTTAATCTTTCCTTTATATTCATGAAAACTGGACTCTATAAATAGCATTATATTTAACTGCTTGGCTGATATAACAAAATATTCTACCCTGATAAAGCATAAAGTTATTTTTAGTAAGCAAAATCTGTTCTGGGCTCGCAAAAATGCAGTCACCATACAGTGGGGAAAATATTTATTTGATCCCCTGCTGATTTTGTAAGTTTGCCCACTTACAAAGAAATTAAGGGTCTGTAATTTTATGGTAGGTTTATTTTAACGGATAGAGAAAGAATATCAACCAAAAAATCCAGAAAAAAACATAAAGGTTAGAAATTGATTTGCATTTCAGTGAGTGAAATAAATATTTGATCCCCTACAAACCAGCAAGAATTCTGGCTCCCACAGATTGGTTATGTGCCCATGTGGAACACAGATTAGTCCTGCCACTTAAAGAAGTTACTCCTAATGTCAGCTCGTTAGGTGTATAAGACACCTGTCCACACAATCTGTATCTTCTGGTGCGTTCAAGTCATGTCGGATAGATCGTATTTACTAGTTGAACGCACATGAACGCCACCACAAAATCGCTATTACGAGTGGGAAACTCGAAATTTTCTTTAAGCCCCAAGTTTCCGAGTTGGGGGCGTGTCAATGAGAAACATGGCGGAATCGATGGATGCAACGTCTGTAGTTGACGGTAAAACGCACCTGACGTCGTATTTACGACTTGTCAACTCGTAAGTACGAATGTCCCAGGAGGACTTGAACGCAGCATTCCATTCCAACCTCTCCCACCACCATGGGCAAGACCAAAGAGTTGTCAAAGGATGTCAGAGGCAAGATTGTAGATCTGCACAAGGCTGGAATGGGCTACACGACCATCTATGCCGGAATGGACTGAAATCCTGCAGTGCCCACAAGGTCCCCCTGCTCAAGAAGGCACATGTACAGGCCTGTTTAAAGTTTGCCAAAGAATATCTAAATTTTTCAGAGAAGACTTGGGAGAAAGTGCTGTGGTCAGATGAGACCAAAATTGAGCTCTTTGGCATTAACTCGACTCGCCGTATTTGGAGGGAGAGAAATGCTGACTATGACCCCAAGAACACCATCCCTACAGTCAAGCACGGAGGTGGAAACATTATGCGGTGGAAACATTATGCTTTGGGGCTGTTTTTCTGCTAAGGGTACAGGACGACTTCACCACATTGAGGGGCAAATGGACGTGGCCATGTACTGTAAAATCTTGGACTAGAACCTCCTTCCCTCAGCCAGAACACTGAAGATAGGTCTTCCAGCATGACAATGACCCGAAACATACCACCAAGGCAACAAAGGAGTGGCTCAAGAAGAAGCACCTTAAGGTCATGGAGTGGCCTAGCCAGTCTCCAGACCTCAATAGAAAATCTGTGGAGGGAGCTGAAACTTCGAGTTGCCAAATGACAACCAAGAAACCGTAAAGATTTAGAGAGGATCTGTAAAGAGGAGTGGATCAAAATCCCTCCTGAGATGTGTTCAAACCTGGTGACCAACTACAAAAAACGTCTTACCTCTGTGCTTGCCAACAAGGGCTTCTGCACCAAGTACTTAGTCATGTTTTGGTTGGGGATCAAATACTTATTTCAATCACTGAAATGCAAATCAATTTCTAACCTTTATATAATGTGTTTTTTCTGGATCTTTTGGTTGGTATTCTGTCTCTATAAGTTAAAATAAATCATAAAGTTACAACCCCTTCATTTCTTTGTAAGTGGGCATACTTACAAAATCAGCAGGGGATCAAATAAATATTTTCCC